TAGTTCTTTTCCATTTAAATTTTCCCATACTTTGAAGGGATTTTTTACAAAACAAAGCATGTAGTTGCTTTTTCGTTCTTTTCCGCTCAAAGACTTTTTTTATGAGATAACCGTACATTCAATGAATTAAGCTACTTTTTTTTCAACTTTTTGTCTCTTTCTTACTTATATCTCTCACTAAAGAAAGCATTTTCTTTACAATTTAATTGCTTCTGATATCAAACACTAAAAACTCGTAAGCGATCAAAATTAGCGTTTTCCAGTGGCATACCAATGCCTTTATGTCCTGTATGGTAACTGATATCACTCTTTTTTTGTACTTTGCGCAAGCCGCAGAATGAAATTTTCTTATTTCGAACGTATGACAAATATGCTCCAATCAACAGAGCTGCGGCGAACTTCGCCCGCGAAGCAATAGCTGCCTGTTAGTCCCCGTGGAAGAAATTAAATATCATCACTCAGAAGTGGCATCGTCTTTATTTTGGCTCTAACCTAGCCTTTAGAGCCTTTCTCCTTACTGGACATTTATCAATTTCCACATTATCCTCAATCCATTTCCATTTCTCGTTTGAATTTCTTGTTTTCATATTTCTTATGCACTTTAACTTACTGAGTCATCATATTAATCTCTCTTAAGTCAAAAATGGGCCAGCAGCAGTCCGGTTTCGGTGGAAAAGGAAATGAAAGAGGTGGAGGTGATGCTGATAAAGAGAAGAAGAAGAAGTATGAGGCCCCAATACCATCAAGAATTGGAAAGAGAAAGAAGGGATCGAAGGGACCAGATACTGCTAGCAAACTCCCTGCAAGTATGTCTCTAGTTGTTTGAAGTACCTCTTTTTATTCTATCGGCGTAACATTAAAACTTTGAAAACAAACTGCAAAGGTTCATATATGATCTTGCTTTTGTATTTTTAACTCAAATTTGATTGTCCTTTCAGTAACTCCTCATGCTCGTTGTCGGCTGAAGCTTTTGAAAAGCGAAAGAATAAAGGATTATCTTCTTATGGAGCAGGAGTTTATTCAAAATCAAGAGCGCTTAAAGCCACAAGAGGAGCGACAAGAAGAGGAGCGAACAAAGGTGTTTTTTTTTCTCACAAATCATTCTTGGGTGATAAAACTGATATTCCTTCACAATTTTTCTTCTTTACACATCTATCAAACTTCACCAATCTTATACTTATAGGTGGACGAGCTTCGCGGCACTCCGATGGCTGTAGGATCTCTTGAAGAAATCATCGACGATCAGCACGCTATTGTTTCAACTGTACGTGTTTTTCCTTTGACATTGCTCGCTTCTTCTAAAATGTGCTTTCAGAATGTTGGAAGTGAGCATTATGTTAATATAATGTCTTTTGTCGACAAGGAGCAGCTCGAGCCTGGCTGTGCTGTTCTACTCAATCACAAGGTGTTCAAAATTAACTATACTTTATCTTTGTTGTCTTTCACTTGCATACGTACCAGCTATCGAGAAGTCTTCTACATGTTTTAATTTACGTGTAAGCGCTATCATTCTCAGAGAATCGGTTTAGAACCATGCTGTAATCGGAGTTCTTGCTGATGATGCTGATCCAATGGTGTCAGTGATGAAATTGGAGAAAGCCCCACAGGTTTGTAATGTGGATATATGTTTTATAATATCCCTGTTTTCAACTTGAGAGCTATATTGTTAAGGAAACCTACGCTGACGTTGGTGGTCTTGATCAGCAAATTCAAGAAATCAAGGAATCCGTTGAGTTGCCGCTAACTCACCCCGAATACTACGAAGAGA